ACTGGAAAGCAGAGTGGTTTTTTTAGGTGAGTTGCAAAGAGTTGAGGATTCGAGGAATAGGAATTACGCAGTTGGAGAGGGGTTATTGCGAGAGAGTGAAACGCAGAGTGATTTTTTAGGCGAGTTGCAAAGAGTTGAGGAATCAAGGAAAGGGAATTAAGGAGTTGCAGGGGGATTATCGCGAGAGACTGGAAAGCATAGTAGTTTTTTAGGTGAGTTGTGAAGAATTGAGGATTCGAGGAAAGGGATTTAGGGTTTTATTGGGGAACTAGAGGAGGTTTGGAGGTTCGTGGATGAGAATTTTTTTTTGTTCTTGGTAATTTAGTGGGGAAGACAGGTCCTACCTATTTTTTCAAATAATTTAGGAGTTATTTATTGAAGTATTGTCAGTTGAAATAAAAACCATGATGTGGTGATTAGAATGTGGGAGTACTACCACCACGACCCCAATCCTTTTCCCATGTAGATGAAAAATTGTGGTTGTAGAAATAGTAGGGAGGAAGCTACACAGCCCGAGAAAAGAGGTTACACATGTCACTAAACCTAGTTTAGAAGGTTTGCTGTCAGAGAGAGATTATGAGTAAAATTGAAATGAGGGCGAGAGAGAGAGAGAGATACAGGGCAATTGAAAATGGAAGGGGAGACAATGATGGAAGGAGAGTGAGGACATAGTGGACGATGCTAGGAACCGAGACCAGCTTGATCACCCCTCTATGTGAATCTGAGTGTAATATATCCAATAACTCATAACTTTTCATCACTCACAAATCTATCTCAAAAAACACAAATACCCAAGAATAATGTTAGCTATAAGAACTTCAGAGAAAATAAAAGAATATAGGAAGCAAAATAAAAATGATCACGTCACATTACAAAAGACAATCCAACTACTATCAACACAGAAATATACATAGTTCATCATAATTGGGCTATCCCAATAAGAAGCCATACATTACTAGCAAAGCTACATGGCTTATCCTAATTAGGCTAGGGGAATATATTTTCATTGATATGAAAGAATTATAAAATTTGGATAAATATATAAACTAATAAACTATCCTCTAAACCATTCTTCACTGTTGACTCCAGCAGCAAGACTCCACTGTAGCAAATATCAAAGCATAAGAAAAAAATGTGATACCATTGTAGCGAAGGTTTTGCCAAAATTCCCCATTCTTAAGTCTCAACCGTCTTGGATGATTCAGATAGATAAGAGGATTTGATCATTTTGAAAGTATTAGCCTAACTTCATCCTTTTCGTTTTTTTTTTCCAATATTATATCAACATAAAATTTAGAATTTGTGTGAGTCTTATTTGATAATATATAAAAACAATTCAAATAAAATAAAATAACCAAAATACCCTTTCATATTTAAGAGGTGTATCGGTCATTTTATTTTTTATATCACGTACTTTTTTTTAGTACTTTATACGGGTTATAAGTATGGCTGCTTAAAATTTTAGCTCAATCAAATGTAAAATAAAAGTACTAAAATAGAAAAACTCATTTTTTTCTCTCAACAAACGATATTAATCTAGACCATCCAATTTGTAAGACTTACAGTGGATAGACTATGATTTTGTAATCTTATTTATGTAACAAGACATCAACCCATGATCAATAGTAGCTTCAATAAATGCTTCAAAATGACTAATTTCTAAATTTTCAAGTTTTAGATTTCTTAGTTCAATCAAAGTAATTATCGCAAATATACCTTAATTTTAGCTTAATTGGAAAAAAATCTCAAACTTTCGTAGACCTCATCTACACCATTTTTCCTCATTTTTGGCTTTTTTTGGACCAAAATGATATTCACGGTAGTTGTACTACCGTATTACATATCGCATTTTATACGGTATTTAAAATATCGTAGTAACTGGAAGTAATATTACCGTACTTACGTACCATAAAGCTCTAGCCTTGTTATACGGTAATTTTATTGCCGTAAAAAGTCGACTCTGTATTCGGCACTCGAAATGCCGTAATACTATCGACTCTTATTAACCCTAATCAGAGACCATTTCCACCTTTACGGTTCTATTTCTACCTTTTTAGGGCTCTATTCTCCCTTTCCACCTCAACATTTCTGGTTGTCAATCTCTCACAGGGTCTCTCTGTCCCTTATTTCTGTCAGTTCATCATAACTTTGAAGTAAGAAATCTTTCACCAATTTTAGTTTTTGGAGTACTTTGTAGCATTTCAACCAATTTAGGATGAATACATTATATATTACCAATTTTAGGTTTATTTATCTCCATTTCATGGTTTGTTATGGGATTTGGCTCTCTCTCTCTCTCTATACATTGTTCACATGAAGTGGTAAATTGATTTCTTTTTTTTTATGGGATTGATGTCTTTTTTTTTTTTGTTAAGAGATTGATTTTTTTTTATTACTTTGTTTTGGAAAATTATTGATATCTAAGAAAATATAGCTGACAATAGCCGCAATAGTGTTGTGTACAATAGCCGCAGTCGTTATTCGATTTTGATATTTATGAGAGCAAAATCCCTTTGTTTTTTTTTTTTTTTAGTAAAATCCTAATTATTTCAAGATGCTCTCAGTTTGTTATTGTGTGTCAGGGAGAGAGAAAGAGAGAGAGAGAGAGAGAAAGAGTTATCTATTGTTTTTTAGCTTGTTTTGAAATGGGATTTTGGTGTTGGCATTGTAAAAATAAATGTTATATACTATTTTTGGTTGATATGGCTTTGATTACGAGTTAAAAGTAAGCAAGAAATTAGTCCACTTTGAAATTTCTTGTTTATTCAATTATTCTTGTGTAGTAATCATTGCTCATGAAACCACGATGCTTTACATTATATCAATAACATTTTTGCAGCAAATCTACGATATTCTTTATCATAACAAATCTTCATAATTATCCATGATGATACATGTGAAAGTCATTTCTTGTTTGCCTTGTTAGTTAAACTTTGTGTCCCAATTATGATTAAAAGTAGTTAAACGTTTTGTCCCAATTATGATTGAATGGGTTTCTGTAGTTTCTTCTACTTATTGTTCTTTTACTTTGTCATATCCTTGGTCAGGTGTCTAATAGACTAGTAGTAGTGTATTTATTATGATTTGTTGTTTATGATGGCTTTTTGAGCATGGATCATGGCAAAAGATGCACCCTACCCTTGAGATCCTGAAATTCCTACATTGCTCAATAGACAGAAAGAGCATATATCACAGAATATCTGGGAAGGAGATGTATATATAATTGTTTCAAATTATATTATTTGTCTATCATGTTGGTTAATCAATTTATTTATTTTAGTATTTGAAATCACAAATTTCATTACAGGATCGAGAAAATCCCCTCAGGGTTGATGAGAAAGCCAATGAAACTTCTTTATGGCATTTAATAAACAATGATCAAATCGATATGGTCAGAAGATCAGGATTGTATCATCTGACCATAGTACCGATGACTCACCACGACCGTGATACACTATCTACTATAATCGAGAAGTGACGTGTAAAGAAGAATACCGGGCACTTCAATGTAGACGTTGGAAAGATGATGCCTACTCTTGAAGATGTATGGAAAATTCTTCGATTAAGGGTGACTAGTGTAGCTGTAACTCTTAGGATAGTGGACAAGTATTTTATAAGCTGCATGCTAGGACGATTGCCACCTGATGGTAACCATTCTATTATTCAGCTGACATGGTTGAGGACCACTTTTAAACAGCTTTCACATAACCCTAACCGCATCACCCTTTTGCGACACACCCTTGCCTACCTCCTATATCTAGTTGGTCACACAATCTTTGTGGATTCCACATATGGTATTATTCCTAAAAACTATTTACAGTTTTTTGAGGATATAGATATAGTTGATCAGTATGCATGGGGTGCAGCTGCTTTAGCTGTTTTATTTTGAGGCTTGTCAATAGTTGTTTGTTCTGGTCATCAATACTTAAGTGGATCAGCCACTCTTTATCTAGTAATGCTAGTATATTAATGTTTTGATAGTTTTTTTTAAAGTTTGATAGATATTTTTTATTGTAATTCTTATTTTTTATACATGCATTTCAATGTTGGGTGTACGCGCATTTGAAATTGTTGCGCCCAATTCCCAAAGAAACAAGGGCAGGGCAACCTAGATCCCTCAGGTGGGACCTCTTAGAGAATAGGATAACTCTCATAGCTTCCATCTCGTGACGCGACATGAGACCGATAATGGCCTCTTTACATCATTTCATATACTTGCTTTGCATATCTTTTGGTTATGGCCTACGACCCCGTATCTGCTACAATTAAGAGGCCTGATCTCTTTGTACTATGTTTGCCTGTGACGTTTCTTTGGCCGACCCCCAGTTTGCCTTGCAGCTGGTGGCATTACTATTATATAGACAATTATCTAGCAACTCTAGTGCATCAGGCATTAGGTTGAACGGAAAGGAATATGCTCTACGGTACATTTGAATTATGAAATAAATGTCACAAAACTCTGTAACATCTTTATGCCTATGATCTATAACGGCGATCGCATGATTGCACGGTAACCCACTAACCTGCCACACCCGACAATTGTATGTATGTGTCGTTAGATTCACAGCACATTTATTATCTGCATTGATCTCATACAGACCATCATATGCCCATATGACTGTATGAATGAATCTGGATTGATCTCTCCCCTTTTTTATTGCCTCTTGGGCTTTCGATGTAAGCACGACGCTCCATTCTCGACATGATCATTGTCTTTGAAAATTTTCCCATGAACTTAAGCCTTAGGCATTCAAGGAGTTTAATAAGGGGCTTCTCCCGAGCATTTAATATCCACCAGTTATATGATTCGGAGATATTCGATGTCAGATGATTGTATCTACACCCCCGAAAATATGTGTTTGCCTAATATTTTGGATGATGTAACATGATCCAATCAAAAGCCTCAGTATTTGCACTATTAATCTTTGTCATGTACTCATCGAAGTCTAATATAGACGATACATGTGCAACTTTCAATAAAGCTTTGTGAGCGTTGAATTTTAATAGGCCTTTTTGAAGTTATCAGCAAGGTGATTCATACAATAGCCTTGTTCACTGGTTGGGAATACTTTTTCAATTGCGGCTTGTAACCACTTCTGACGATTTGAGATAATAGTCAATGCTGGCAAATCAGACCTCTCGTCAAACTGCTCATTGAGAAGCTCTAGAAACCATGTCCAACTTGATGCATTTTCACTCTCAACCACTGCATATGCTATAGGAAATATATTTTCATTCGCATCTACCCCAACTGCAGCTAATAGTATTCCTTTGTATATTCCCTTCAAAAATGTCTCATCTAGTCCCATTAGTGGCCTGCAACTATACATAAAACCATACAAATATGGACCATTGCCTATATATACATGCTCAAACCTATCATGAACATCTGTTTGAATAATCGTTACGGTTCCAGGGTTAGTATTTCGGATCTTATGAAGGTACTTGGCGAGATCCTCATAAGCCTTCACATAGGAACTATCATTTATCTCTTGTGCAACATCTTTGCCCCGCCATGCTTGTTGGTAAGATAGCATGACACCGTGATCATGTTGTATACCATTAACCACATCTGCAGGTGTCATATTGGGCATATCATTCAAACGGACTTTGATCATGCTTGCCACCCAATGCCTTCGAGCAAGCGGCTGATGAACCCTACTTATTCCGCTTGTACATGAGTGCATGTTTATAAACTTCTTCACCCTGAAGAAGTTTGTTGTATTAACTCTCCAACAACGCACTTGCCATGAACACCCATCTGCAACACACATCGCTCATACATGTCTCGCTTCGCTTTTTATAAATTTCATATTTGAGTTTTGTGATATGGCATAATCAATAAAGTGATTACGACATACGTGTACGTCATCAAAATCCTGACCCAGTCGAAGTACAACTTCATAGTGGTTAATTTTGAGTGGGCTTTCTATCGGATCGATGTCATCGATATGCCACTCGATTTCTAAACCATGCTCATCTTCTACACTTATGGCAGCAGCACCTTCACTGTGAACTAATTGCTCTGATCGAGAGCTACGGTAGAAAAAAAAATTGAAGAACGAGTGAGAATTATCCTAACACATAACAAAATATTGATAAATAAAAATAATAATGAATTTTATTGCAAAGTTCTTAAATGGCCAATCTTGATGGACTATTTATCGGGCACTGTTCGTGGTCGATATTCAGTGAAGTCAAACTCAATAGGTATGTTTGATACGTGCTCTGGTCATGAACTGTTATCGAAATAAAATTTGAAGAATAATTGAGAATTATCCTAACCCATAGCAAAATATTGATAAATAAAAAAATAATGAATTTCATTGTAAACTTCTTACATGGCCAATCTTGATGGATCATTATCGAGCACTATTGGTGGTCGATATTCAGTGGAGTCAAACTCAATAGGTTTGTTTGATATATACATAGCAATGGGAGAAAACCCTTCCATCATATTTGCAATGTGGTCATCATCATCAATACGTATCATATTATTGTTACTTGATAACCCTGGGTCAATCTACTTAATAATCGTAGTATTTGGGGCATAATTTGATGCTTTTGACAAGTAATCATTTATTTGGTCAAATGATGAAATCCCCCTAAAAAATATAACCTTCATATTCCTACCGTCATAGAAAATACGTCCATCATAGATTTCCTATCGAAAAAACCACTAAAGTGTAAAACGATTTTCACTCTGTTGTCACCCATTATTGTTGCTTACAAGCTCAATGGATGAGAGAGAGAGAGAGAGGGAGGAGGCTAAGGAAGATGAGGAAAGATGAGTTTATAATAAAGAAATCATGAAAATAGGGTTTTATGATAGAAATCGACGCTAAAAAGGGCAAGAGATAATTACAGTAGTTCGAGTACCGTAATAAACATTTGAGATATTACGGTATTAAAATTGACGTATAAAATGCCTATGAAATTGCGGTGTATAAACTACCGTATAAAATGCCCTAAGTATGATGGTACTTAAAGTACCATATAAAATGCCCTAAGTATTACGATACTTAAAGTACCGTATAAAATGTATAAGTACTATGGTACTTAAAATACCGTATAAAATGCACTAACTATTACAGGTTCTTCATGGTAATATGACTACTGTGAATGTCATTTTGGTCCAAAAAAAGCCGAAAATGAGAAAAAAATGTGTAGACGTGGTTTATGAAAGTTTAAGGTTTTTTTTCCAATTAAGCTAAAATTAAAATATATTTGGGCTAATTACCCTTCAATCAAACATAAATTCACAAACTTCCTAAAATTACTCCCATGGTGGTCATTGAACGCAATATTTACTAATTTCAGATATAAAAAATCCAATTTCCATAAATCTAGAACATTAAACTTCGAACGAACTCCACTTCCAGTTGTGGAGCACCCGCGTGAGTTCTGTGCGAGACATCCATCTGTATCTGCAGTGGCATCCACTTCTTCCCTCTTCCCATCGGACGGACTGACCCTGAATGGATGGTGTTAACTTTTAAGGACATGAATTGATTTGAGTGAGCATGCAATTTTAATTGATTTGAACGTTTGAAAAAAAATTATGGGTCACCTAGCTTCGTCCATCCGGAAAACCAGTCGAGTCCGGCGGATTGGAGGATTGGATGGGCACTTTGGTGGAGTGAATTGGCTAATAGAAACTAAAAAAAAAAAAGAGTAAATTACATACGGACGTGAAATAATTACTTAAAATATGAAATGATTTCATTATAAGCGGAAATCACAAGAAATGTCGGTCAACCCGTGTTTTTTTATTTTATTTTTTTAAATTGCTCATCGGTTCGAGAATTATGTATTTTAATTTTAATTTTTTTTAGTCTTTTTTGTTAGTAGGGCTATGCCCCATGCTTTTGGGGCATTGCCCAGGCGATCCGGTCCGAGGTTAAAATCTTCGGGCCACCCTGTGAACACAGCAAAACCCCAGTAGAGCAGTCTGAGGTCCCCATCCTCATACCGCTATTTTTCTCAAAAAAATAAGAACTAAATCGTGGTCACCTCGGACTGCCAGGGGGCATTACCCTACTAACTGAAAAACTAAAAAAAGTAAAAGATTAAAAAGTAGTTCGAAAAATTAAAAATTAAAAAGTAATTCGAGAATGGCATCTTCAGACTGAAGGACAATTTTAACCAAATTGACCGATCTTTTGCGTAATTTGCGCTCGAAATTATCTCATTTTGTATTTTAGGTAAAGCTTTCAGCCCCCATATGCAAATCATTCATAAATTAATGGACAAGAAAAAATTAAAAATAAAAGAAAAGAAAGGGCTATTTTTCACAAAAACCCACCAACTCCCGATATTATGGAAGAACCAGAGTGGCCCACCAATTCCAGTCCGATTCACAAGTTTTTAAAATTTAAACGCTAGCTCAAATCGATCTCTTTGAGGTCCAAAGCGCATGTGGCCAAGATCTACTGTTGCACGACAACCATTCTCTTCAACTATTTATCTCTCTGCAACGGAAAACGTGTCGACTACGGTCCAAACCTGGCTCCGCCCAAAAAGATGAGTACAGCACTCCGCTCTCTCTCTCTCTCTCTCTAACAGTACGGAGACAGCCTGTAAGCCATTATTAGCGCCAAGAATCTATGAGTCGCTCTTCGCGTGAGCCTCGTGCCATTGTATTATTCACCAATAATCACCTTTAACAAGTTCACTAATCTCTATCATTATTTCTCATTCCTCTTGATGGCTAAAAGCAGTATTTAAAGATAAGCATTGGTGGGGGCGGATGGTCCACCCCCATTATTTGTCTGAATATGCTTGATTGGCGATTTCTCTTATCGCAAAAAAAATATTTTGGAATAAATAAAATAATATCAAAATAATGAAGTAGCTAAGATTGATGATCAATGAATATTTAAAAAGAAATTATTTTTTTTATATTTTGGGTCAATAAGATTCGATAATGTCGTACATAAAATTAGAGTTGGGTGGACAAAGTGGCGATGCATAACCAAAGTTTTATGTGATCACCGTACACCATTGAAGCTGAACGGGAAGTTCTATAAGACAGTTGAGGGGACCAACTTCGCTTTAAGGGATAAAATGTTGCGCGGTCAAGAAACAATATGCCCATAGTATGAGTGTAATTAAGATGAAAATGTTGAGATGGATGAGTGGCAAGACATGAAAGGATATAATTATAAATGAATATATATGAAGTTACTTAAAGGTCTCCAATAAGTGATAAATGAGGAAAAATAAACTTAGGTAGGTTTGCTATGTGCGGCGCAGACAAAATATAACACCAGTTAGGAGGTACGATTTAATTTAAATGAAAGGCTCGAAAAAGGCAAAGGGAAGGCCCAAAAGCACACAGATGGAAAGTAGTAAAAAATATATAGAGACAATGGTTTTATTGAGGGTAGGACTATTGATAGAGCAGAATGGCAAAACATGATTCGTGTAACCAACCTCGAATAGTTGGGATAAAGTTATAATGATGATGATAGATATAAAAATTAAAATAGAGGTCTATGGGAGTGCATATTTGTTTTTTTGGGGATGGGGGACCAAAAAATATATTACATAAGCTTAAAGAGAAAAAAATAAAAAACAACTGAAAAAGGGCTTTTAGGGAGGAACCAAGCCAAGACCTATACCATTTGAAACTAGTTCAATCCCTGATTGATTCCACATTCCGATCGATGGCCTCAATAAAAACTGGTTGGGTTTTAAAACATTGGCCAAAAGGGTATTCCTAATTAACAAGGTTAAAAAAAAGGTGATTTCAATTGCAAACGCAATCCAGATTTGCTACCATTTAGGCTGACCAAATCCTTAAAATATTGGAACCAGTTGGTTCTAATATTTAAATTTTTTGATTTTTTGTTGGCTAGTTCATTTGGCTGAATCGCCGATCTTGACCACCTATCCACTGAACCATACCAGTTTTCTGGATAGAGGATTCGGGTCATGGATCTATTTTTTTAAACCTTGCTAAATAAAATGAAAGAGAGGTTCGATATGGTCAATGAGTAATTGTAGAGATTAGTTTGTGATTTGGTTGAAATTTTTAGTTTTCTACCGTGGAAATGCTTTCTTCTTCACTCCTAAGTCGAAAGCATAAGGGAAATTTTCTGGGTAATTTCATCGTTATCTCAAAAAAGGTTCGGGGTAATATTTTATAGATCTCTTTGAGTCTCATAAATAGTGTATCTTGCAACACATTATCTAGACCGTTCATTTTCAATATTTTCATATGTTTATAGATCTTTTTTATTTTTATTTTTTTAGTTTAAAAATTTTCTAATTAGGCATGAAAAAATATTTTAAGATAATCCTAAGAATTTTTTACAATAAAATTACATATTATGATAAAATTTGAAGGTGCGTCTTAATTGGATTGTTTAAAATTACAACTTTATAGAAACCACACCCATTATTAAAATATTCGCAAGAGATGAATCATTTAATATTTTATCTATTTGTAACTATTTCTTGTCATCTTTTAAGAGATATTTAATACTAAATAAAAATATAAATAAGATAGTGAATAATCAATCTGTCAGGTATTTGGAAAGATTTTCCTTTATCTTAACAGGTGTGGGACACCCCTTCCTACCGCACACGGTAACTTTACCCCTTAAAATGAAAAGTTGGTAAAATGAAAAGTTGAGCAAATATACTGCGAGATATGTGTGGAGAAGTACCAACGTTAGGGCAATTCTTTACAGGAAAAAAACAAAAATAATTGTATACAATAAGACTATTTATTTTTGACATAAAAATATCACAATTATTTATAGTAATC